TAATTCAAAACAAATCATTAAAAAAAAAAAATTGTCTTATGAGAAAAATATATGAAATAAAAGATAATTCTATTGGCAAATCAATCTTTTTTTTTAAGATGCGGGAGTATATATTTTTATGTTATATGTTTTTTATTACTAATTTAAGAAAATTGTGTAGTGAAAAATATTATTTTTTGTATAAAAGATGAGTCAATTATATAAATATATATATATATATCACCCTCACAATAATTAATGCCAAATGCAGAGTTAAAAATATGATATAGATGAAAATATAAAAGCCACAATCACCATTCTGATTTTCCCAAGAAATAAAATAAGAATAAAAATAAAAAATAAAAAACCCAAAATTCATAGCAATTGCACGGCCATGCCTTAGTGAATCTAACTACTAGAAAACCATTTATCTAAACCTCTATATATACATATATATGCATGCATATGGCAATGGCAGATAAGAGAGCAAGCAATGCAACGGAATGCTTAAAAACAGAGGGAATCAATGGAACCTGGTGGTGGCGGCGGCGGCGGCGGCGGCGCTGCGGAGTCGGAGGACGAGGTGGAGGGTGGATTCCTTCTGGATATTATAATCGGAGAGCGTCCAGTCGTCGTCGAGCTGCTTCGCGGCGAATATCAGCCTCTGTTGGTCCGGCGAGATGCCTTCCTTGTCCTGAATATTCGCCTTCACGTTCTCGATCGTGTCGGAGCTCTCGACTTCCAGCGTGATTGTCTTCCCCGTCACCGTTTTCACGAAGATCTGCATCTGAAATCCATGGAGTTGTAGAGAAGGTGTAAGCAATATGATTTAGAAGAATGTTTCTCAACATCTCCAGATTAATCACTGCTTTAAAATTTTTAATTCTAAACACGAAAAAAACCTTCAAGATGGGGAAATTTAAAGAGGATTTGGAATTATTCAACAACATACTTCACATGAACATCTGAAAATAACTCAAAATTGAATTTAAACAAATTTAAGAGAGCAATGGCAAATCGCACAGAAGTTTAGTACGTAACAATTCGAATGGATTAACTTAACAGTTATTAGGTTAAGTAAACTTCATCATACATCAATCAAACAGATTGTAATTCAATCAGATGAATCCTCGACTGTCATCGAGGATAAACTTCCCCTTTCTAGCGCACGTAATTAACCTCATTCAACTAATTTTTCTTAAGAAAACTCTAATGAACACACATACGAACCAAGATCAGCGACGCAACCGCACCAAAAATCAAATTCCAACTAAATATCACATCGATACGAACTAGAATTCCTCCAAAACAAAAATAACACCACTCATCGCATACATCACAAACAAAAAACCACATATATATCAAAATAAACATAACAGAAAACGCCATAATTAACATCGAACAAAATTCAAATAAGAGAAAGAAACCATACCTTTGAATCAAGTATCAGTTTGTAGCAGCAGAGAAACAAGTAGAGAAAAATCTTCGAGAACAGAATTGTTAGAAATTTTGGGGGAAAATAATGAGATCAAAATAAGGAGCCTATATATAGGCAATACAAAACAGACTCGATAGACTCAAATCTAAGTAATCAAAACTATGAATAAGATCCAATCTAGATATAAATTTACTAAATCTTGAATATCTAAAAACCCTTTATATAATGGTTCGGAACGTATTTTCATTCCAATATATCAGCCGTTGATTTTGTAGATGTAATCCCCTATAAATACATGATTAAAATGTATTTTCAAAATAATATCACTGATTGGTTTCGATTGGACAAAATGTTGAATTCGACGGTCTGGGTAGTATTTGAGAAAAAAAAAATGAAAGACGGACTATCCGAATGTTCGAAAAGCAAAGATTGAGTGAGGGTGAAAGAGAGAGAGGAGAGAAGGTGGGGCAGGTTGGGTTTGAGTGGGTGAACGCAGTGCGACAGGGTGTGAGGTAGAGAAACGTAGATGATGATTAAATTTGTAAAGATGGGGTACGATATAGCTAGGCAGAAGAGATAGGAAAATACATATTATTAGAGTTTAAAATTTAATTATAAAATTAAATTAAATAATTATAAAAAAAATATATAAACTAAAATTTAAAATATAGTTCTAAAATTTAAAATTTAAAATTTAATAATAATAATAGATAATACAATTTTAAAATATGAATCATCGATTAATTAGGGCCCTAAACAGTTGCCCGCTCTGCTCCTGCTCAGAGCCGCCACTGATATGTGGAACGGAGAGAGTATTTTTTTATAATGGATAATAAAATTACGTAGTAAATAAATTAAAATTTAACTCTTAAAAAAATAAAAATAGCACTATAAACTCATGATCAATTAGTGGCATAATAATTTTATTTATAAAAATTAAAGTAAAACTAATTAATTAATTAATTAAAATTAATACGATGATAATGACATTAACGGCAAATGGAAAATAAAATTTATTCAAATTATTAATTACATTATGAATCTAAGTATTTGATAAAAATATCTTAAAAGCATAATTAATATCACGTCATATCAACATTTGGGTTTATTTTTTTTTTTTAATTAAACTTTTGTTTCATTAAAATTTTGAATATAATATTTTGTTTTTTGGGTTTATTTTTTTTTTTTAATTAAACTTTTGTTTCATTAAAATTTTGAATATAATATTTTGTTTTTTGGGTTCACTAAGGGCTTTTTGGTTAATGAACTTTTTTTTGTGGGATTAGGATTTCACAGTAGGATTTATATGTGATGAGATTTATTATATCTAGGATTTGGAATCCTATCATATGTTTGGTTGGTAAAATTATGTGGGATTTATATTTCTCACGTCTTGTTTGTAATATTTTATAAAATAAAAAAATTTGTAATATACTATATTTTAAAAATTATAATTTTATTAGTAATATCAAATTTTTTAAAAAAAATTAATATTTACAAAAATGTCATCTTGCAAAAAAAAGTGAAAAAGATTCTAATATGAAACAGTCCAAACTCCAATAGCCGTCATAAAAAATACTCCTAACTAATTATTTGCAGGGTACTAACTACTAAGTGCGGCTAGGAGTTTACCGGATGTCCACTTTCGGGTAATGGTTGCGAATTTTTACGTCATAGAAAAAAAATATTAACTAACTAGTAAATAAGTAGAATTAAGTGTACAAAAAAAAAGAACATTCTTAGTTTTTTTTCTAAAAAAATTATTTTTATTAGTTTATTACAAATGTATGTGTTGTCGGCTGCTTGTACCGAGAGATTTATTTAGACATATATTAAAAAATATATTTATGAAGTTTTAAATATTTTAAAATAATTACAAAATTCAAATATTTGAGGTAAAATTTATGATAAAAAATAAATTAATATGTGATATAAAAAATTAAAATAAAATTTCAAGTAAATACTGTCTTTTATGTTTTGGATATAAAATTTTTTGAATTTTGGTACAAATGTTTTTTGTAAAATAAATATAAAATATAATAAACTATTTTTATTGGTTGTCAATAACATGAACATTAAAGGGGTTTATTCAATTATAATTTTAATGGATTTGTTTGGATTTTGGAAAGTTCGTAAACTTGAGTGAATTTATAAATTCTATAGAATCTACGCAGAGTTTAATTGATTTTATGTATTGATTTATATGAATTTTGATAGATTTGATTGGATTATTTATTAATTTATCTATACTTGATTAGAGTTCATAAATTGTGGATTAAATGTTTTATTTTTTTAGTGATTTATAAAATATTCATTTAGAGCCATGAAAGATATGAGCATTTCATCTAATAAAACATAGCCATAATATTGAAATAAAAACAAGATTCAAGATTGAACACAACACAACACTCTTGTTGATATAACAAACCATAATCATATATGGGTATATATTTCAACAAGATTGAAGAAATAAACCAGTCAGTCATATGTCGATAGAAATAAAGAAATCTGGGATCAAGATTTAATATTGATTGAAAAATTCATACCTATTTTCTGTCTTTCAGAAATCGGATATTGGATTCTCCCAAGTCGGGAGGAAATCGGCAGCAATGGCGAGCACAAGCTCTGCTCCTGTCCTTCTCTTGGACCCTCCTTTTTCAATTTCTTCCATTTCCCTTGTTTGTGTATAAATATAAATATACACTCACTCACTTACCATATATATATATATATATATATATCACTTTTTCAAATTTTAGTAATAATTAAAAGTAATTTAAACTGAATTTATTTTATGTTATATCATACTATTTGCTAATAAAAATATTGTTTTGATATATCACTTCAGTTTGATACAAAGTTTTAGGTACTATGTAATTAATAAGTAATTATGAAATATATTAGTAAAAATAATTATGATATGATTATAGGTTAAAATGATTAAATAATTTAATTAAAATATAAATTTTAAATTTTAAAATTTAAAATATGATCAATGTGTATAATTATATTTCCAAACAATTTATATGGGGACGATACAGAAAAAATAGACAAATTAAGTGAGATATAAAATATTTTTTTAAAAATGATCCTATCTATTTTTTTAAGGGTAAATTATATAACACGTGTTTTAGTAAAAATATATAAAACACTTTGTATTTTATTTATTGCATAAAACTCCTTGTATTAATATAAAGTTTGCATGTTTGATTCTAAATAAAAACATAAATTACTCAAAGTTTTAACGTAAAATATTTTAAATTATTTTCTTAATAAATAAATAATTGATTAATCATTTGTTTTATATTTTTTGGAGACAAATTGTTATTTGATTTTTATAAAAACTATAGAAATAAATGATTTAATCAATTACTTATTTTATTTCAAAAATAATTTAAAATATTTTACGTTATTTATTTTATTTATTTGTATAAAAATTGATTAATTTAAATTTTTATTTGAAACTAAACATCATATAAAGTAGACCCATGCTATTTTATTTTATGTATTTTTACTAAAATATAAGAGAATGTTATGTAATTTTTTTTATTTTTTTTTTTTTTTTTTGTTTGTAATGAACTTCTAATAAATTGATTTATCATTACTCTTTTTCTTCTTTCACAAGGCCATTTCTCCCACAGAAATCTAGAGACTGCAAAGAGATTTCACCAAGAAACAAGTCCTTAAGATGGTCTCTACAAATTCCCATCTTCCTCCGGTGAAACCCGCCGTGGATCGAGCTCGAAAACCCCGTCGTCCACGCCGGAAACTTCTGCCGCTCCATCACATTCACCGCGTACGCAACCGGTGCCGCTGCCGCCGTGCACCCGATCACACTGCAAATACCCGACTCCCGCCCGATTCTCGCCACCGAAATCGAGCATGCCCCGCTGTCGCTCACCCCGTACATCGACGCGCCGTCAAGCTCGTTTTCGCTCAAAACCATGTCCGAATAAACACCCTCGAGCTCGATCTCGTCCGTCGGCAACGACGGGATCCTGCTCAGCTCCTCGTCGAACTTCTTGGCAATCTCCGTTTCGTGGATTCGGTACTTCGACGCCAACGTTCGTATGCACGACATCCGCACCTGGGTCGATATCGCCAGCTTCACTTCGGCGAAATTGTCGCAGTCGACGAACCACCTCACCCACCGCCGCACGATCCCGACGAACCAGTCGACGATTTGATCGTCGTCGAATAGGATTAGTATGTAGCACGTTCGCGCGTAACCTTCCGCGTTCGTTAATCCGTATCGGTGGAGACGCTTCGATATGTTGTTCACGGGCGCGAGAATTTCCGTGACGTAACCACGATCGGGGCTTTTGTCGGGTAGAAGAGCGAGCATCGATGCAGTCTCCGACGCGACATACTCGTCGACCCGTTTTTCGAATTCACGATACGAATCGGTGAGCTCGTCGGGAAGCGCCGGTTCGACGATTTTCTTCGCTAGAACGAACTCTTCGCTCGAGGCTCGTTTCGGGTTGACGTCCTGCATCCATATCTTAAGCAGGAGTTTGTACCAGTGATCGGTTTTCATCCCGGGTTTCCGGTGACCGGAAATTCGACAAAGAGTCGAGCCTGGGTCCGCTAACTGTTCGATCTCCGATTCTTTAACCTTCTTCAAGCCATGAGCCAGCCATTTCCGCCCGATTTGAAACTCCCCTTCAATCCACGACTCGCGTTTTTGTTCGGCGAAGATCTTGACTTTGTCCCGCAATTTATGTACGGCTCGAACGCCGCCGCCGTCATTCTCTCTCGGGCGCCTTCTGATACACAATCCGAGAAATCGGACGCCGTGAGGGTCATTCGACGCCAAAACATCGGTTCGATCACCCTCGTCGATATCCAAATCGAGAGAGTTCTTCAAGAAATTTGTTACGTCGGATTTGAAATCAACCGCTACTTCCTTCGAACCCGTCACGGCGAAGAAAAACTCGTCCATGAATCGACAACAATGGACTCTCGTGCTCGGGATTTTCTCGCGATCGTTCCCATTTATTTGCCTTCGAAAAATGCCGCGCAGCTTCGACTGCGACGTGTTCTCGCACGGCGCGGATATCGTATACCGCATCGATAATCGATACACCTCCTGATCGAAAAGATCGAGGTATATGTTCATGAGTATCGGCGAGAGCGCCCCTTCTTGCGGAAGTCCGCATCCTTTTGCGAACGAACCGAACTCGACGTTCAAAACTCCGGCGTCGAACATCTTCCAAATCATCCCAAATAAATTTAAGTCATCGATCTTTTCCTCCATCAACGATTCGACCCTACGAAGGATAGGCTTGTCGAGCTTCTTACAAACAAGAACCGTAAACCACCAATCAGGCTCGGAAATCTCCCTCCGAATATACTTCAACGCCGATGCTCGACTCCTTCCACTTCGAAAACCATGCGAAATCTTCGAAAAATGTGGCCGGTAAACGACCTCCAAAACGATCCTAATAGCTTCTTGAACAACCCGTAATTTCAATCCCGGAAGAACGAGCTTCGACTTCTTTACTTTCGTGCCTCGGCTCGATATCATATATGTATTTCTGGAAACGTCGAAGCTCTCGTCGGCTAACTCCTCTGCCATTAACTCGAACGGCAATGGATCGCTATCGGACGACAAATCGACATTTGAAGATGCTCGGAGACAATCGTAAGCATCCTTTAGAGTATTCGGATCGGCGATTACATTCGACATGAGATCGTGAAACTTCCCATCCCTATATTGGTGCTTCACCCTCTTCTTAATCCGTAGCTCGAAGAACCTCCTCGATTCCAGCCTCGACCTCGGTTTCGGCATTCGATTTCGAGTTTCGTAAGATTGTTGAACCAACGAGGCCAGATTCTTAGCCAGAGCTGATTTGCTAATCTCCCTATGGCCATTGTTATCACCTACGGAATCCTCTGCAACTAACTCAGCCAAATTCTTAATCAATCCATTTCCTCCATTTCTATTATCAGCAATAAACCTTTCATCAACAGTTTTCTTCTGCGTCGAATAAAATACGAGGGGAAGAGATCGGAAACCAGACCTGCCTAATCGAAATTTCAGGATATAATTCGAACATATGAACAGAAATCGAACGAAACAGCACCAAATGAACGCAATCAAAAACGAAATGTTCTGCTAAAAAATATATACAAATTCAAATGCGTTTGAAATTGAAGAGAAGAGAAGAGGAGTGTTTACCGAACAACGGCGCCGATTTGGATTCAATCCGAGCAAGTATTCGCTGTAAGTGCATACTTTTTTTGTTTTTATCGATTCAACCAAAATCGAATTAGGATAAATTGACAGCGTCAAGGAGAGCCGGAGGGTGAGTAGAGCGTCGTTATCAGCACGCGCCGCCGGCGCAGGGCGGGTACTCCGTCGGAGACATTTTAGCGAACAGTTGGTGCGCAGTGAAGCGGGAGGTAAGTCGAGGGGCTCCCTGAATAGTAGAATGAAGAAGTTGTTATTGCCAAACAGCGCCCTAGGAATTAATTAAATTTCTAAATAGCCCATTGGATCAAAGTCCATAACTATTAAAAAGCTCATTAGAAAAATAAATAAACAAATAAATAAAATCTGATTTGATGTGTAGTTTAAACAAGAGTTCTTTTTAGGGTGTGTTTGTTTGGGGTTCGGATTTTTTTTCAATTATTCATTCGATTTTTTCTTCTCAAAAATATCAAATTAAACATCTATTTTTTATTTTTTTTATATTATATTAAAAATCAATTTTACATTCAAAATATCACATTAACACTTATTTATATCACATCATACAACTATTCAAATTCAAAATTTTTACTATTCAAATCCCAACTCAAAATTCAAACCCCAAACAAACACACCTTAAACAAAATTTAAAATTATAATAAAAACATTAGTATTTAAGTATTGTGTAAATAAAAACTAATTTTACACTTCTTCTATTTTAATTTAAAATATTTTTTTAATATTTTCGTTAATTTCAATAAAAGTAAAAGTATTTATTTTTTATTTTAATAGGATTCAGCATAAGAAGGATCAACATAACATATTAACATTAGCTGATTACATTACAATATTAAGGTAAGTTATTTTACGTTTTACACACCAAACACCACCAGAGATTCTTACCGTTTCCATCTCCGGCTTCTTTGCCCATCATCTTCCTTACACTTCCGCCGCTCCGGTGGCGGCGCCGGCAAAGCGCTGTCGCTGGAGTCTCGGCAATCATCCCCATCTTCCTTACACTTCCGCCGCTCCGGTGGCGGCGCCGGCAAAGCGCTGTCGCTGGAGTCTCGGCAATCATCCCTCAAACCCATTCTTCTTACACCTTCGATTCCTCGTAACCTTCCACGGTCGAAACCATCCCCCGACCGGCAGTCGACTCCGTCTAATACGCTCGTGCTTCTTCGAGAAACTTGACCGGAAATCGAACTCCGAGCTTTGATTTCGTTGACTTGAAGTTTTCTCGACTCCGCGCCGCTGCCGGAGACCCAGCTCCATCGGTGACTCTTTCGTGTTTTCGACAGAATGCCGTCGCTTTCTCCCGAGTCATCTTTATTTTCCGAATCATCAGCATCGACAATTTGTTCCGACGCTGCTCGACTTCCGTCCTTGTCTCGTCTCGTTCCGAGGAAGATTTCGAGTTGCTTCCGCAGCTTCTTAATCGCCGAGTTCTTCTCTTCACAAACGTCGACGACCACCGGCTTATCGACGGCGATGTTTTTGGCTAATTCACCGCAAACCTGCTCGGTAATTTCCCGCGCCCTCCGCTCGCTCTCGACATCGTCGACAGCTTTAGCGAAAGACGACTTCAGGTCCGATAACTCGTCTCCGAGTTTCTTGTTCAATCGCTCGACTTGCCGTCGTAATTTCCTCTCCACCTCGAGCTCACGGCGAACGGCCTCAATTGCTTCTTCGACTGCTCGTTCTTTAACTTTCCAAGACGCCTTTTCTTCGGCGAAACATTTTACGAGACAGGTGATCTCGTTTTGATCCGAATACTGCTCCTTGACGAGACGATCGACCTGAAGTCGAGCCCGTTCGAGCTCGGCGTGGAGTGCGGAGATTACCGACAGGCTAGACGAAGGTTGTTCCGATTCACTACGAGCCCAAAGACGGTTGATGATTTTTACGAGCTCTTTCGAAGTAGTAATCGCATTGCTTAAATCGTTAAGTCGATTCTTGCCGCCAGTCTCCGATCCTCTTGGAGTCGGGGCATGCGATCGCATCTCCGTCTGACATATACGAATAGATTACGACCAAATTTAAAATGAAAGGTAGAAAAAACCGAAACTTTCACTTTACCTCTATAAGGCTCGCATCGCTTGTAGAATTGAAGAGCGTAGCGTTTTGTTCTCCCGACCTAAGCCTCCGAGAAATCGAGGGTGTCCTTTGACGACTTCCGGATCGATCGATCTTCTGTGAATCGCATTTGGAAAACAAAGATCCAAACCGAAGATTAGTTCATCACAATACAAAAACTCCAAGCAATTCGACAAAGGAACTCTTCCCATTCAAGAAATTCGACACGAAAGTAATGGCGCAATTTTTTACTATCAACAACGAACGATTTGGCGGATGCATCTACATTCTACTTAATATCAACAAAACATCATAATAAAACTGAGCATTGGGGAATCTATACATGTTACAAAAATTGATCATAATCGACGAAATCACACGCCCAAACACAATGTGATGCCATATTCGATAATACGACGTCTACGCATTCAAATTCGACTTTGATTTGACGAAAGTAAAGGTGCAATTTTTCACTATCCACAAGGAACGAATTAGCGAATGCATCGACAATCTATTTAATATCAACAAAAGATCGAACCAAAATTGAGCATACGAGGAATCTACACATGTTAACATGTTACTAAACTCGATCAAAATCGACCAAATGACAAACCTAAACACAATGGGTGACATTCGATTGCATTCAAAATCAAATTCGAATCCGATCACAAATTAAACAGCACAAATTCAATGCAAAAACGAATCGGAATCGAATGGCTTTACCTCGGAAAGAGCTGGACTATGTGATGGATCAGAGAGACGAGGCGACAGCATTTTCTCCATCTTAAAAACCATCTTACTTCCACTCTTCATCTTGTCCGAATTCCGATTTCGACTTTCCGGCGACGGCGTCCCGTTCCCGTTCATTCCCCACAGAATCGCCGCCAGTCGCCGGGCGGAGACGGGCTGAGTGGACCTCCCGCTCTGAGAACACTTCGGAGACTCCACACCACTCTTCAAAGGGACGGTTCTCCAAGTCGGCACGGGCGTGTTGGATCTGGAACCTCCAAGTCGGCACGGGCGTGTTGTTTTCCCCGCACGCTTATTCAACCTGTGGTTGCGAATCCTCGACGAAGAAGACGACGATGACGAACAGCCTCTTTTACGGATCTTCATCGGCATGATCAGACCTTCGATTATCACTCCTCTGTCCCTTCCTCGCGACATTGTGTTCAATTCGGCTAAAAATTTCTCGATAATCTCAAAAATTCATGATCTGTGAGCAGTAAATAAGAGAAATTAGGGCTAGACACGAACGAACACTGTTCTAGGGTTTCGAAATCTTACGAATTGATTCCTCGCGATTTCCAGAGGGAATTTCGTGTTAGAATCGAAGATAAAATCGATAGAGTTGAAGAATGGAGTGCGACTGTGAATGAACTGACGTAGAAAGGGGAAAAAGGAGATTTCAACCTCGGGCGTGTTTATTTTGTGTTTTATTTAAATTTATTTACTTTTAGAACGTAATTTTAAAAATATTAGAATTATATTGGAATATAGTAGAAATAAAGTAAAAATAATTAAAAATAATTTTATTAGTACGTGTGATAAAAGGTAATGACATTTATATAATATATTGTAAGTTGTAAGGATATTTGTAATGTTAGGTAGATAGTACAGTTACTATAAAAAAAAATAGATATTTTTTTTACGGAACTGACTAAAATGAAAAAATGGATACTTTGTTATGAAACGGAGGGAGTATTAATATTTTATATTGAATATATATAAATAGAAAAAAATATTGCTTTAGTTTGAGTATACGTTGTGCATATATAATCAATATAGATACATATTTGTGCCGTAAGGAATGGTATGGTGTAGGGGTTGGATTTGTGACCGTGAGATCATTCGTTCAAACCATCGAGACCTGATTTGTAAGGTATTAGGTTCGATCGGGGATTTATCCATTGTCCATTTTCGGTCATTAGAAAAAAAATATATACATATATATATATAACATATTATTTGGTAGTATATATATGAATTTATGTATGTTTATTTTATATAATATGCTATTGATTTCAACCGAATAAATATACTTATATAATACTCTCTCTCTCCACAAACTAATGTTCTACTTTTCTATTTGAAACGTATTGTTCTATTGTTTTTAAACATAAATTTTACATTTTTATCCTTCTTTCATTTATTACTTTTTATTTCTATCATACAATGAAGAGCAAATTTGTCAATTCATAACAAAAAGACAATCATCTAAAAAATCGTGCAAATATACTTTAGGATAATAAAAATTGAACGGAGGGAGTATAACAGTATGTTGAACAGATGATTTCATCAAATCGAACATCAAAATCATAGCTAATATTCATTTATACTATCCTGCATTTAAGGTTTAAATATTTTTATTTTTGTTTGTTTAATTTAAAAATATAAATTTCCATATCAATTATACTACAAATTAATAGTTGTATGGTGTGGATGCTAGCCTATAAATACACGTATATATTCATTCAATAAAAGGCACAGACATTCAATTAACTCTATCCTCTATCCTCTCACCTCTCCCTCTTTATTACATGTCTTCTCTTTGTTATATTATAATATATTGATATAGACACTAGAGTGATATATACATACATATATTTATTTACCCACCAACGTACTATTATATTACAATAGTCTCATTTTTACAATTATATTATCACTTCTCTTTGTAATATTTATTGGAAGTCTTATGTCGATAAATCATTAGATTTCAATACTCCATTGTTGCGCCGAGAGGATGGGAGGTACTACAGACACAGCGCGGTGTACATGTCGATGGAGCGGCGGGGAGTGGCTGGGCATGTGAGGGGTGACACGTGGCAGGGAATGAGTGGGCATTGATTGGAGAATGTCTTTTTCCTAGTCGATAATTTTTTGTGGGATTTGGTCTAAATCTGATCTGTCTTTCTGCATAATTACATTTATTAATATAAACAACTCATTAATTTATCTATGCTCGTTTACTAAAAACGACGTCGTTCTGGAAGTCCTTCAATAAACGATTTAATATTAATATCTAGCGTAGGTGGCAGGTCAATGGCTTTACAACATTTTAAGATGAAACAAATGTAGATGTGCTCTTTTAAATACAAAAATAAACAAAACTTTTTCTTTTTTTCTTTGGGTAGAGCGAAACAGGTAAATTGAAAATAAAAACTTAAAAACTGTAAATAGAACAGATGCGTTAGAGAAGTACCTGGATCTGTCTGTAAGAATTTTTGAGGTATACAAACTTATCGGAAATAATTCATATAAATGGCATATGCTCGACCAACAATGTCTCAAGTTAGTTCCTCGGCGCAGAAGCCGGCATTATCGGAGAATAATTTCACGCGATCGGTCACCTCCATAAAAATGCTGACGCCCTTGCCTGTCGGGATGTTTTTTATTCTGCAAGATCATCAAATATGGTGTCTCAATTTGTACCCATCAAATAGAACTTGGTAACGTATAAATGTAGAACATCACTCTAGAGAGTTTCCTTTTTTTTTTTATAAAGATTATCTTAGGACGTACGCACTAAGAGGCTATGTTTGCTTACATCGAACAACTATTCAAATTCAAACCGTACTATTCAAAACTCCAAAACCTACAAACATACAACATAGAAACATTCTCAGAAAAATCTCTCGTAAAACTTATTTTTTATTTAAAATATTATTCCTTCAGTCCTATATTTATATATCTATTTAATTTTGATACGTAGATTAACAAACATTAATATTTTATCTATAATTCGTCATATGCTAAAATGCATGGACAAAAATAACGGTACAAGTATAAGGGTAAGGGTCAGGGTCGATACGTACGATTAAAATAAAATGATGAATGATATAGTTTTGGTAAAAAGTAAAGGTAATTTATTATTATGTAGAGACCACATCTACTAAATTTGGTAAATTATTTACATTTCAAAATCAATCCAAAACTCCCAACACATTATCATAAACACATCTAAAAGCAACCTTAGTACCTTTGTGAATCATAAGGTAAAATTTAGCTTAAGTGAATCTAACTAGGTAGGATATAAGTTATAGTCTAAATAACAAATTGTGAAAATTTTTCACGGAGCGCGCCGTAGATCCCAATCATAATGGCATCTCAACTACTCTGAATAGCTTATTATCAAGAGAAAACAGTTCCACCAAATATATATATATATATATATATATGAGGATTAAATATAGAATATAACTTATGCAACTGAGCTGCCAATCTGCCATCATGTGCAGCATTTAAATTAAAAAGCTATGTAGACAATAGGGCCTTTTTGGGGTACAGAAGTATTCCGAGGCAGGCTGGCGACAGGATACGTCGAAAGCAAAACACGAGCAAATGAATCACTTGAACCTAACATAGAGGCGAAATAATTGAACAAAACATGATCCTACAGTGTTATCTTCCAGTTTGATCAAATTCTCTACATTTGATATAATGTAATTAGACTCAGATGAAAATAAGTCAGCATGAAGTATGAACCATAATGCATTGATGTACACAGTAATACCGACAAAATAAGGTAAGCAGATTCTCTATATTCGACATTATGTAGTTAGACTCGATGAAAATAAGCCCATATTATCGCTAACTGACAAAATAAGGTAAGAAGATTCTATATATTTGACATTATGGAGTTAGACGCGATGAAAGTAAGTTCGTACGATTGCTACTGCGTTGATGTAAACAGTAATACTAACAAAATAAGGTAAGCACATTCTCTACATTCGACATTATGTAGTTAGACTCGATGAAAATAAGCCAGTATTATCGCTAACTGACAAAATAAGGTGAGCAGATTCTAAGTACGATTATGGAGTTAGACTCGACGAAAATAAGTCAGTGCGATTGGTAATACGTCGATGTGAACAGTAATACTAACAAAATAAAGTAAGCAGATTTAATAATGTGTCGAGAACTTTAATGAATAAAAGGGATCTTACCTTACTTCAAATGATGAGACTATCAGACTGGATTATTTTGATGCAGATGGATTTCTTGAATAAGTTGAGATCTGGTCCGCTTTATAGCATAAAAACAAAGGAACAGATGGTCCTCAAGACTCTCGAGCCGTTGAACAAAACTTTGACGATGTACCCGAAGCTGCTTCAGCATCTCCTGAATGAAAAAGCTGTCGTCTCCCCTCTCCAATCCCAAGCGTATAAAGTGCATGTCGCCTTCAACATCAGCGCACAGCTGAGCAACCAACCGCTCGATGGTGTCCAAATCCTTGTGAAGGACATACGCATTCTTCGCTGCAGCATCAAGTAGAGCCGGATCAACCTTCTCTTCCCTTCTCGTGACGGGATAACAAAATGCAAGGCATATGGGGCTTCCCACAAGGGCAACGGCAAAATGGGTAGCTACGGCTACAGCTGATATGGCCACACCAGCGCCAGCAGCCATCACGCACAAAACAGGCCTTGCCGAAAAATACTGCATGAGAGGGATCCTCGGCTTTGATCTTCTCACATGAGGTTCTAGTTCTTGTCTGAGATCAGAGAAGCACCGCCTCATATCCTCAAATTTCTGTGAATCGGGAGAGAGAAAAGGGTTCTCCACACGGTCGAATTGAACAAACACATTATAGGCCAAGCTGCATTGGGATTGTGAGAGTCTGTAAGAATCGGAGTTTAGTTCCAGGGGAATGTCATCAAGAAGTTGATGAATAGGGATGTAGAGCTGACGAGCTCGACGGACACTCTGGTAGAGAAGGTAGCAAAAGTGGGTAGTGTCTTCACTATGTCCAAAGTAGTTAGCAACAAGGTTAGAAAGCGACTTGGTACTAATAAGTGAAAGTGTTTCGTTCACATACTCCTGGTTTGGTTGAAGAACCTGTTCCAAAACCCGAGATTCCTCAAAACTGTATGCATGCTCAATATCTACAGTTTGGTCAGCACCATTAGCTTCATCAAATGTTTGCCTAATCTCACTATAAGAATCAGTTTGAATTGCCCGGGCATATTCTTGTGTAAGGTTGATGGTTGGCGAGGGTTGAGCACTTGTCCTTGGTGAATTCCCGACAGAATATCCTGAAAAACAGTCCGATGTAAGAACGTCTTAGGTAATAGGTAATCAATCAGTGCAAAATCTGCAAGTAACATGGCATAAAGTAAAGAATGCCTCATTATCGATTTTGATAAATCATTTTATATGCATGTTATTTTATCACCACAATCCAACTCCCTTACCATTGCTGGAGTTAGGGAGAACATGAATCAAACCAGCTTCTGTTTCTATAATTGTCTCTCAAAGAGTTAGAAGTTTACCTTGTGATGCAGGGGGTGAATAATTGTTAGCTGATGGTGGTGACTGTGGTTTAAAACAAGGTAGCATTGGGTCCTGTATCACGATGAGCGATAACCCGTACAGCCAAAAATCATTTCTTCATAGAAAACTTTGACTAGGAGTGCACAAGACGTTTTCCGGGTCCACAATACTCAAGATATATGTATATCCAAATACTGTTCTGCCAAAAAGTAAACCAAATGAAATTGAAGATGATATATTCCTTGATTGTTTGATACAAAGAAAAGACCCATTTCAAGAAAGCAAGGGAAGCATTATTGTGCCTTGATAACAGAATCTAAACTAAAGAAGACACTGTATAACATTTTTGTTGTGTATATCCAAGAGACGATACATACAGAGAAAATCATCCAGGAAAAAATATATATATTATACAAGAAATTTACAAGTCAAGTTTTTTCCAAGGGCAAAACACTTATATAGCTAATCAACGGAAATTCGAGTTACACCTTTATGGCTGGCTGCCCATAAATGAGCTATAGTGATCATGATGCTATAGCTAATACACAACCTTGGCCACCAACAGTCTAACACCCAAGTGTATAATATGTGTGTGTGTATATATATATGTATATATTACTTATATATTGGAACGAATGTCGACAAAAGAAGCAGCACAATTCAAAATCAACAGCATAACAATTTGCTATCATTTTTTGAACAGCTGAGCCTAAAAGTGAATTGCACAAAAGGTATGCATTCAGTTCACATTATCACATTCAGAGTTCTCCAATCTCCATCACACAATGTTTACACATAAGACATTTTTCACTATTCAAGTAATTTTTTCCTCCAAAACATTAAATTGAACATCTATATTTTACTTTTTTATATTATACTAAATGAATTTTACATTCACAGCATCTTATCAATACCTATTTATTTCCTATCAAACAATGACTCAAATTCAAAATTTTAGTATTAAAAAATTCAAATCCAAAACACTCAAACAATAAAGCTTCCAATTCTTTTTAACTTCTTAACCCAGGCATTGACCCTTCCCAGTGAGCTTTGTCAGAAAATACTACCAACATTTCAAAATGCCCCTTACATCAGTCATAACAAAGATAAACAAAAATATGGAGTAAATATGAACACAAGCTCAGCATGCGGAATTCCACCTACAAACAAATGAACAAATAAGTTGCTGCATAAACCCAAACAAAACCCTAATTAAACACGGGACCAATTAAAAGACGCCTCAGGCGTTCACAGAAAAATTCAAGGCTCCTCGCAGCACAAGAATTAGTAGCTCGCATAAGGAAATGACGATAATTTTCCAAAAGACATACCCGAATTTGGAGCTTGTTAATCTTCGAGAAATTTTCTGAGACGAGCTTTGGCGTAGCCTTTATGGAGCTGTGCTCCGGGCTGCTGAGCTCCGATGTTGCAATATGAGAGAAGTAAGCCGACGGCGAGTAAGGTATCCCCGGAGAGTCGCCGGAGACGATGGCGATGACGGTGAGTTGCTTCGGCGGCGGAGAGTATGGCCACAGCACCATCTCAGTCAAACATATATATATATATATGCGTGTGTGATAATTTGTTTGACTTGTGGGGAAAGGAAGAGTTAAATAGCAATACCGAAAATTACCGTGGGCCAAGTTTGTAATAAATGAGAAATTGAAGTAACTTAACCGAAAATTTATACTTCACCAACATATTCACCTAACCCTAGCCCACGGCCCGACCTCCGCCGGCGGCGAGAATCAAACAAAGTACTGCTCGAAGACGACGCCGGATGTTCCCGCCGGAGTTACAACTGGTACGACGGAGCAATGCATATCCAGACGAATAGACGAGAAATGTCAATTGCATTGAAACACATACCTGGAGAAGACGCCGCCGCTGACTACGGCCGTGGAGGCAGCCGGCAGCACCGACAAAACAAATTTTTTGATGAACAGTGCTGTTAGGAAATCATGAGAACGAATTTGAGATCTTTTTAAATCATTTGAATGCACCCTGTAGGTCTAGATTCATAAGAACTTATATAAATGCAGGAGTCTGAAATTCTGAATGCATATGCTGCTAACTAACGGTACTCATCCAACGATGATCATCAAATGCAAAGTCCCACTACAAGTTCATACACCTTCAGTACCATTCTCTATGAAGAAGATACACACAAACCACCCTTGAAGAAGAAATCGTTCATTGCAACCAACATAATAACTTAATCCATTCAAAAACCTTTCAAGGATCCTTCTTCACCTCGCCCCAACCGCTGCTGCATCTTACATACCTATCAACAATGCCAAATTGCTCGTTCTGCGCCATTCTCCGAGAGTAATTCTCGGCAGAAATCGACCCCTTCTTCAATCTCCGATAGTATATAATCTCCCACGGCCACAGCCGTGCCGACCCGAAATACCTATCCACTGCCATTTCCTTTCCATTCTCCTCCGGGTGCTGCAGGCCGTAGTGTTTCAGAACCATCCCCACTTCCTGCGCCGAAATTCTTTCTACATTCGAAGCATCGGGCTTTACAACGGTATCAGAATCCGGCGCAGATGCATTCTTACCGTTGAACGGATTAAAACTATCGCCAAACTGATCATCAGCGTCTGATACTGGGGTGTCTGATACCGGGGTGCAAGGCTCGAACATTTCAGGTGAATCTTTTGAGTCAGAGTCCTTCGGGGACAGATCTTTCATTTTTAAATTACGACTGAGCAGTTCTTTGTCTTTCGTTGCAGAGTCCTTTGATTCTGGTCGAGCTTTCTTTGGGGAAGAGGGCAGGTCTCTGTTGAGGTCTAGTGGCAGCGAGCCAGACGACGTCGATGGCGATACAGACTTGATAGAAGTTGACTTCTTGGAAGGCTTGTAACCAGAATGAATTGACGGTGATGACGGGCCGCCAGGTTTCTCCGAGAGATCTTTGTCGGTACTCTCATGATCGCGCCACTTTCTTTTCTTATGTCTGAAGTCTCGCTTCCGATTATATGGTGGCGAAGAATCTCCGTGCCTCAGTAGCCTTTGATGGTTCCGGAAACCAGACAGTCCCCCGTTATTTTCTCGATACCTCATCGGGACTGTATCGCCTTCAAGGCCCGGGCCAATTCTCCCTCGAGGCCTTGGTGCATGCCTCTGTAGCTCTAGCGGACAGTTGCGCATTTTATGACCTACTTCCCCGCATAAATAGCAATTCTTTTGAGATTTTGCTCCGTAGAAATTTCCGGTTCTTTCCTTTGAGTTCCTGCTAACAGGTGATTCGGGCGTAGGGTGATGTTCGTCCAATTCCTGTACCCCAACGCTGTGGCAAGGTTCATATCGGTCAAACTCTATGTCATTTTCCAAATAACTTTCGTGCGATGGGTTGACAATCTGCTCCCCCCACCGATCATCTTCTAAATGGCTTCTATCACCATTCCCAAATCGGTGATCGTTTTCAATGTAAGAAGGATCCCTTTCCCCGACATAACCCTCTGCATCGTCTGGATGATAGTTCATTGATTCGTTAACCAGGTCGGAGGAACCAACTGTTCTACCTTCACTTGCTTTCTTGAAATCATTCTCGTAGTCGTGCCGGATGTTGGGACCCACTCTCCGCCCAGCGTTTTCTTTCGCAAAGAACTTTCTGTATGGCTGCTTGTAGGGCATCCCACCCGGGGGAAACCTTTGCATAGCATGAGGCTGATGTTTAGACCATGACAGCGTCAAAGCCTCCCCACAAATCCTAGTGCCTCGAAGTGTTTTGAGAGCTTTTTCAGCGCTTGCAGGGTAGTCGTAAACTACAAAACCGTACTTATCTTTCACCCTTAGACTACATCTACCAAATCTCCGAAAAACACGCTCAAGCTCACCGAGGTGAGTGTGAGATGAGAGGTTTCCAATATGCAGAGACATCTGAGAAAACAGAACACGAAACCTATCATCGTTGTATTTATTGATACAACAGAACTCACAAATGCAAAACATATATGCTTGGTAAAAATAGGTAACCACGGCTTTAGAAACCAAAACCAGAACCAGAACCAATATATTCTGATACAATCAAATACCAGAACATATATGCTTGGTAAAAACAAGCAAACAAGAATTACAGAAACCAAAACCGGAGCAAGAACCAATCTATTCTGATACAATTCAAATACAAAAACATATATGCTTGGTAAAAACAAGCAAACACAGATTTATAAACCGGAACCGGAACCAAAACCAAACTATTCTGATGCAATTCAGCTCTACACTATAATGATCTTCACAGCAATTCAACTCTACATTATAATGATCTTACCAGAAATTCAACAAATTCCATCTTTCAAACAAATGCATTTATTTTTGCTACTTCAGACATTTAGATACAAAGAGTGTTGTGGCAAACATTGCGACTGAACTTTATGTCCATTCAATCAACAAGTCTCAGGGGAACTCGTAAATCAATACATGCCAATTTTATGATTTTTTTTTTCAAGGATTATTAACAGATTCAGATCAAAATAGGATTACTCCAATTTGAAACCGGAAATTTATGTACAAAGAAAACGCTGAATGGATGTATGGTCGGGGGAGAAAGTGAAAGTGAAAAACCGTTCAAGCATCAGATAGAAACTAAATACTCAACAACAATTGACGATTTTTTCACATAATTTCTCGTTCTTCTGCAAAAATAAATAAAAACATAAACAATTTTTATCGAACACGATGCAGCAGATGAAATCAGTAATCCACTTCAATAAGATCGACAGCACGAACCGAATCAACAGACACGCAAATCCAATCACAGATTCATCCCCAAAAAAAACACACACACAAACGCAGATGCAAAACGATTTGTGGCCAGAGATGATACCGAATCGAGATTAAAACGATACAGTAAATCATCGACGTACCTAAAACCGATGGAAATCGTCAATTAGGTTCGTCGCAAGGGAATCAGTGATGTGCACAGCGGCCGGCGTAGCGCACACTCTCGCCGAAGGGTAATTCGAATCGTTCGGTTTGCAATGCATTTGGGGTTCGTTTGTGGGCGAATTTACTTGAAGACCCTTTTAGCAAATTTCTCCCGAGTCCTCCAACTATTTACATATTCTTAAAACTATATGAGAGTAGGGTTATTTACACGGGGTGTGTTTGTTTGAAGAATTTCGGTGGATTTCTACTATTCATCCAATTTTTTCCCCCCAAAAACATCAAATCAAACACCTATTTTTCATTTTTTATATTATACTAAAAATCAATTTTACATTCAAAACATCACATCAAACCCTATTTATATCACATCATACAACTATTCAAATTCAAAATTTTTACTATTCAAATCCCAATTCAAAATCCAAACCCCCAAACAAACACACCCACAGAGTGTTAAGCGACTGCTAATTTACAAATTATTAAAAATAATAATAATAATAATAATAAATTGTAAAAAAAATATACTATTTATGTATAATTTTTTTACAAAATTTATTCAACTTTTTTATAACAAACAAATAAAAAAATAATATATAATTTCTTTTAATAAAAAAGAGTAATTAGGTAGTATTTATACAAATGGATAAAAGATTATAAAGAATGAATAATTAGAATTGATGCCATTGAGAACATGATTGGGCTTTCATTTCCTTTAGGTCCAAGTCTAGCACTGTAGTATTTTTTTATTTTTTATTTCTAAAATTGATAAATTAAATATTTATTATTGTAAAAAAAAAAATTCAGAATATCATATAATATTATACCCCTTCATCCCGCTACAAGTCTCGTTTACAGTAAACACTAGCGTGGATATAATTAATCAATAATTAAAAAATTATTAGTTAACATAATTATAATATATACAAATAATTTTAAATTAAGATAACCTACTATTCTAATTAAAATTTAAAAAAATCATAAATTAATTTTTTTTAAGTAAAATTAAAATATATAATTCGAAAAATAACATGATAAATAAGACAAACGAAACTAAAAAAAATTGAGTGTAATGAATTATTTCTATAAAATATAAATTAAATTTATTATTCAAAATAATATTTTAAAGGGAAAAAATCAATTTTGGTCATAATATAATCAAAATTAATCAATTTTGGTCTCAATATAAAAAATTCATCAATTTTGGTCTCAATATAACCAAAATTTATCAATTTTGGTCACAATATAAAAAAACTCATCAATTTTGGTATCAATATAAACAATTTCAATCAATTTTGGTCCAATTATAAACAATTTTCATCAATTTTGGTCTCACCGTTAAAAAACTAACGGAAATTACTGACGTGGACATGACGGAGGTGACGTGGCAGTTGACCTGAAAAGTATACGGCTATGTACAATTATACACGGTCATTTTGTTACATGACCATGTATATTTCAGTGTATAATTATACATAGCCATATTGTTACATTTCAGTGTATAATTATACATGGTCATGTTGTTACATGGCCATATATAATTATACACGGCCATGTTGTTACAGGGCCATGTATATTTCAGTGTTTAATTATACATGACCATTTGTTACACGGCCATGTACAATTACACACGGCCATGTTGTTACATGACCATGTATACTTCAGTGTATAATTATACATGACCATGTTGTTACACGGCCATGTATAATTTTAACGGCCGTGTATCTTTCTGTTTCGGTCTAAAATTATAATTTTTTGTTACATTTTAATTTTTTTTTTAAAAAAAAAATTAGAATAGTTGATATAGTTAAAATGGAAAAAAATAATAATAATAATCATAATATAATTAAAATATATCAATTTTAGTTCAAATATAAGTATTTATCGAGTATGTTCTTTTGGAAGATTTTGTCTAAAATTCTACTATTTAGCAAAAAAAATTCTCTTACAAACATCCAATTAATGTATTGAAATTTTTGTTAAATAGAATAATTTTAGACAAAATTTTCCAAAATAACATACTCGATAAATACTTATATTTGAACTAAAATTGATATATTTTAATTATATTATGATTATTATTATTTTTTTTTCCATTTTAACTATATCAACTATTCCAAATTAAAAAAAAATTAAAAATATAACAAAAAATTAAAATTTTAGACCGAAACAGAAAGATACACAGTCGTGTAAAATTATACATGGCCGTGTAACAACATGGTCATGTATAATTATACACTGAAATATACATGGTCATGTAACAACATGGCCGTGTAACAACATGGCCGTGTATAATTGTACATGGTTGTGTAACAACATGACTGTGTATAATTGTACATGGTTGTGTAACAACGTGGCCATATATAATTATACACTGAAATATACATGGCCATGTAACAACATGGCCGTCTATAATTGTACATAGCCATGTACTTTCTAGGTCAACTGCCACGTCACCTCCGTCATGTCCATGTCAGCAATTTCCGTTAGTTTTTTAACGGTGGGACCAAAATTGATAAAAATTGTTTATAATGGGACCAAAATTTATTGAAATTGTTTATATTGTGACCAAAATTGATGAGTTTTTTATATTGGAACCAAAATTGATAAATTTTGGTTATATCGGGACCAAAATTGATTAATTTTGATTATATTGGAATCAAAATTGATTTTTTTCCCTATTTTAAAATAATACTTCCTCATTCCCACGTTGGAGTCTGGGTCACTGTAGACACAAGAATTTAGTATAAATATAATTAGTAGATAATTAATAATGTATTAGTGAAAATAATTATCATATAATATAAATAATTATAAATTAAGATTAAGATAACTTATTAGTTTAATTAAAATTAAAAAAAATTAAAAAATTAGTGTGTAATTATTTTCTAAAAAGGAAAAGTGACATGGAACGTGAGACGAGACAAATAGAGTATTATTAAAAATATATATTAATATATTATTGTTTTTATATATTTTTAAAATATTAAAAAATTTGATTATTTTTTATATTATGAAATAATTGTAAAAAATATTTTTGTTTAATTATAAATATATATATCAAATAATTTTAACCAAAAAGTGAATATAATAATAAATATAACCTACAATATAATTATATTGAAAACATGTCATGAACATAACTGTGTTGAGAATATGGGCAGGAACATTACCTAAAACGTGACTGTGACTGTGTTGAGAATAAGGGTAGAAACATGGTTGTGTTCAGAGAACACGAGTAGGAACATGGTTGTGTTCAGAGAACACGAGTAGGAACACGGCTGTGTTCAAAAGTGTACCTGGGACACCCAGTTACATGTTCAAGCCAACACGGCCGTGTTCAGTCCCAATTAATCATCTTGGAACCAAAATTGATAAATTTTGAGACCAAAATTGATAAATCTTTTTTAATATAACTAAAATTGATAATTATGATATTCAACGAGATAAAAGATAATTTTTTCTCAACATTTAATTACAATTAATCTAAATTGATTTTTATTTGATTTTGACTTTATATTATTGTTTACCCTTTGAGCATTGACGTTTTGGACTGTGCCCACTTGCTTCCAACATTATTTTTAAACGATCCGGCGACTTCACAACCAAATTAACTCGGTGCGTTTGGGACAAGTATTTGATAGTTTTTAGCTGTTAGTTAATTTAATTAGCGGTTAATTGTTAGATGATTCAATTAACTGGTTTGACTAACTGATTTAATTAGCTGTATTAAAGTGTTTGGCAAAACAAATGTTTGACATTAGTTGTTTATACATAAAATGACTATTAAGGACATTGATATGTTATTTTTTAAAATACTTAATTTTATTCATTTTGATTTGAAATTTATGAGAATTTTTGTTATTAATTATTGAAAATTATAAAAATATTATAAAATATTTATTTTTATTTTTATTATTTAGATTTGAGAAAATTATTTTTACTAAAAAATAATAATTTTTTATTAAAATTATGTAAAATAAAAAATAATAAATTTTTAGCATATATATTTTGATTATGTTAATTATTGTTTTAATATATATAAATAAATTAATAATTTTTGTTTTTTCTATTTGATTTAGTTTTAAAAATTTATATATTTTATAAATAAAATAATTTATATGTAATAATTAGTAATAATTATTATTATTTTAAATTTATAAAAATAAAAAATATAATTTAATAAATTAAATATGTTAAAAATAATTAATAAATATTGCTATAAAAATATATTTATATGTGTAAACTAAATAATTAAAATGAAAAAGCTCTTTCAAAATGTTTAGTAGATGAGATTTTCAAAAATTAGCATTTTGAGTCCAAAAAATTATTTCAAAAAACTAATTTACCGAATATCTGAATTACCTTTTTGATTTGGCAAACACGCTTATCAAAAAACTCTTTCGCAAATACTCTCCTAAAATTAAATAAGGGAGAAGATTGATACGGAGTTTAAGTCCTGGATCTTTTATAAAAGATTCATCTTCAATAATTTATTCTGACCGCATTTATTTTCCTTTTTAGTTTTTTTTTTTTCCACATTTTTTTTTATCAAGCCAATTTTTTTTTTCCCCCTTCAGATTCCGTCGATTCCGCCTTCTGAAAAATATCTCCGACCGAGTCGATTTCCGAGTGGACGCCCAAATTCACGCGATGACCCTTGGCTCAGGAGGATCCAGCGTCGTGGGTAACGATTCTTCCTTTCATTACAGTTTTGAAATTTTATTTTTGGTGGTCAATCGGCGAATTGGTCTTCGGAATCTGTGGGTTTATTTTGTTTGGAATTAATTTGTTTGAAGGATTAAGTAAAGGATCTCAGCTGATTGAGCAGTTCGATTCAATTGTTCGATTTTGTGTTATTTGCCGAAATCTGTATTTGTTGTTAAAACTATTGATTTATGGAGTTTCTCTTTATCCTTGATTTTGATTGTAATATGAAGAATGATTTAGTGATGTTCTTTGCTTATTTTTGAGTGATTTTGCGTTATATTGATGGTATAGATGTATTCTTGGCACTCTCTTTCTATATTATGCCAACCTAAAAAGAGCGATTGAGTTTAATTGTATCTTCAATTTGGCGATGGTCAGATATGTTCCGACTGTAATTTCATTGTGTTGAGTGTTGGTGATTTAATTAGCTAAATGAATGGAGTTTTGGAATGATGTTTCATGAGAGGAAAAAGTGTGAAAACAGTTCATACACAGAGTGGATGCCATTATCTTGAAGAGTTCTCCCCAAAAGAAAGTTGTGATCATGTTGTCTCGATGGTTAGGCGTGCCCTTCGTTGTTGTAGGTTAACCTTGCGCTTTGTCAATGTATTTTGGAAATGGTAAAAAGTTGAACTGATGATAGGTTTTGGGTATGATGTTTTGAATTTAAAGTATGTGTTGGATGAAATGTTTTGAACGAAAAATATGTTTCAATGTGATGTTTTAAATGAAAAATATGTCTTGGGGATTCTGATAGTTAAACACTTGATTATCAGTTGTAACACTTGCATTGGTTTAAACATGTTTGGGAGCTTCCGTATTGTCTTCTCTATTTTGTTGAAAACACACTAAGGAGTCGAGTCTTGTTTTATCCATCCTATATCATTTGATCAGTTCAAGGTTCTTCCATCCTCAAGTATTCATTTACAAATGCTCGGTAATAATTCTCTACTTTTCAGAAAGGACCACTCTTCATTAAGGTTTCCACTTGCTATTCCGAAACAAAGTGAAAGTATGATCAAATGTGATTTTATTCTGATGACATCATATGTTGGTTTGCTGCAGTTTCTATCCCTTTTTCGTTACAATCTCTATTTAACAATTATATTTTATTGAGCTGCTAAGGCTTTGCTTTCTATGCTGAAAACACGTTTGATTAAATTATATAGGGATTCAAAAGTACGGATCCTCCTATTATCAAACATTTGAATTCTGCTGTGTTTATCAATTCTTCTACTTTTTTGCAGTCCCTCGAAATTTCAGATTGCTGGAGGAACTAGAACGTGGAGAGAAGGGAATTGGTGATGGTACCGTAAGCTATGGAATGGATGATGGAGATGATATTTATATGCGATCATGGACTGGTACCATCATCGGCCCTCATAACGTGAGCTTCCTCTTCGCTTAACAATTTGTTTATACATATTGGAGATGTTTAATAACTTGTGTTTCGAATAAAATTCTTTTTTGTATTTGATCATGTTTATTTCGAAAGATAAATTATTTCTGAAGTATTTCATTTAAGTGAACCTATAAAAGGTTAAAGCTCGGAAAGAATATAACTAAAATATTGGATAAAACAACTCAACTTAAGTCTTCTAGAGAGGCATTTAGGCTTATATTGGCATTTTCTATTGTAAATTGGTTAATGATGTTTTTGGCATGCATATCAGTGGTTGGGTATATGAATGTTAATTGATATCTACGTGTGCTTTTGTTACCATGGAAACGCTGAAATTGTAATTGTTTGCTAACACGAAAGTGATTGGATGTTTACTTTTTTCGTTGTTGTCAGTCTGTACATGAAGGGCGTATATATCAGTTGAAGTTATTCTGTGACAAAGATTATCCGGAGAAGCCTCCTAGCGTTCGGTTCCATTCCCGGATCAACATGACTTGTGTAAACCATGAAACTGGAGTGGTATGGATCAAATCACCTCTCGGCTAATTTGACATTGTTGTTGTGTTATACAGTACTTGTGCTCTTTTTCGATAATGATTGAAGAATATAATTATAGCTAAGATTCCACATTACGCGGCAAACATTTTCAACATTTTTCTTTATTTACTTGAAATACCACTGGAAATGTAGTTTGATCTCTAACTTTAACTCAAGAAAATGATCTATTCACATTCCGGCCTATTCTTCAAGTTTGTTAACTTGATTAAAAAACATTAGCGAATATTCTCACACATTCGATAAAGAGCTCCTTAATCTCAGCTTTTTTGTTAGATGTGATATTTTGTAAGAGAATATAGTCTCTTTCTATAGAGAATCGTGACAATTGCATAGTAAAGAAATTAACCAAATTCAAAATTTTCAATTTTTTTTTTTTTTTTTCATCTAAGCACGCTTAATTTATAGCAGTTCTTATAAGATCCAGTGCGTTGGATTACTATGGGTCTTGCAATAGTAATTTTGATGTGATATTTTGTAAGAAAAGCAAATATATATATATTTATATATAGAGAATCGGGATAAATGCATAGTTAAAAAGAAAACTAAAACCAAATTTCAAAAGAATAGAGCAGCTAAATCTTGCAATTCATGTACTCAAGTTGTTTTTTCTTTTTCTTATTTTGTTTCTTTCATCGATGACTAACTCTAGTAGTATTCGTCTTCTCGTAATATTTTTGTTTACTTAACATTAACAATGCAGGTGGAGCCGAAGAAGTTCGGGCCGTTAGCAAATTGGCAACGGGAGTACACGATGGAGGACATATTGACGCAGCTGAAGAAAGAAATGGCTGCTCCACACAACCGCAAGCTCGTCCAGCCTCCCGAAGGTACCTATTTCTAGCGTCAACTCATATAAGGTTCCTCCCGACTCGGCCATCCCTAAAGTATATCGTTGGTGTAAGTTGTTGTCAAAATGTAAGTTGCAAAGCTTTCTCCCATCGAACTTTTCCGGCTTCTTGCTACTCTTTTATGTTGTACTATCATCTTGTTGTTGTTGATGATTGTGTTGTTGGAATGGTTTTCTAAAATGGGAATTCTACCTTGTGATTGTTAATGAGTTTTTGTTGTTGAATTTTAGCTCGTAATGTTCGTGAACGTGAATTTGGTATTCAAACTGAACCGAACTAATACTCAAAAATCTCGATTAATCGAAAGTGTTTATAGTATTTGCAAATAATTCAAACTCAATTGAGTTTTTTTTTTTTAAAAAAAATTACATAAAAAGAATAACTATAATTTTTATTAGGGAAAAAATTATTTTTAGTCTCAATATAATTAAAATTCATCAATTTTGATTCCAATATAAAATTTTTATTAATTTTGGTTCAAATATAATCAAAATTTATCATTTTTGGTCATAATATAAAATTTTTATCAATTTTAGTCTCAATATAACAAAAATTCATCATTTTTTGTCACAATATAATCAAATCTTATCTTTTTTTGTCCCACCGTCAACGAAAAATGCTGATGTGAAAAGAACTCAAACCTTATATTTATATTTGAAGAAATTGCACAATCTTGCAAGTCAACATCATCATTTTCCATCGGTTTGTTGACAGTGGAATAAAAAAAAAAGATAGATTTGATTATATTGGGACAAAAAATGATAAAAATTTTATATTCGGACAAAGAATGATGAGTTTTGGTTATATTGAGACAAAAAATAATGAGTTTTGATTATATTGAAACCAAAATTGATAAAATTTTTATATTGTGACCAAAATTTATAAATTTTGGTTATATTGGACCAAAAATGATTTTTTTCTTTTTTATTAATTAAAAATATTTGATGGGCTTTGGGCTTTGGCAAGTTGATTCGAACTCTATTGAATTTTATAGTTGGGTCAAACTTGTGGTGGGCGGGCCAAAGCGAGTCGAAGCCCGACTTTAAATTGTTATGATGTGTGTGCAAAATTATCTATTTTCAATCATTTTTAAATTTGATATATTTGAAATTTATTCGAAAGTAGTTTCTGATAGTGAAGGTTAAATTATCGATTTTGAATTTAATTAATTAATTAATTAATTCATTATTGTTTTGCTCGGCCAAAAAATAAAATTTGTCCACCCCTTTAGTTGCATTTTGGTTCAGTAATTAATATTATTATTAGTAATTGATTGCTTTGGTTAGATTATGAATTTGTGACTTTAAAATGGTTAAATAGTTAGAGATATTTTTAAAAATTTAATTAGTAATTAAAGAAAATAAAAAGGAAATATAATAAAAGAATTGGCAATTATAGTAAATAAATATTGAATTAGAATAATAGTTAAATATTGGATTTTTTACTTTGCCAAAATTACTAATAAGGTAAATTTAATTACCAGACTAAAAAAAAAAGTGAAATTAAATTTGACCAATAGAAAAAATACTGTTTTTTTTTTTTTTCAAAATAAACTATTTTTATTGAGATTAATGTAAAAAATACAAGAACAATTCCATAATTTTATTTTTTACATTTTATCTTCAACTTTTTATTATTTAATTTCATACATTTCCTCTAAATATATTACTACTATTTAGTACAAAACATCACAAAAACATTCAAAACTAGAACAGCAAAATTAAAAAAATAAAAATATACATCTATAAATTTTATATTTTTAATGTGTATAGATATATATATATATCTACAAATGAAATAGTTGTTAGGTATACTTTATATGAAAAACCAGTGTTTAATAAAATATCTTTTAAGGTAAATTGAAAATAAATAAACAGTTAGAAAATACCAAATGAAAATTTATACTCCCTTTGTTTCGTAACAAAATATCCATTTTTTCATTTTAATTCGTCCCATAAAAAAATATCCATTTCCTTTTCTAGTAACTGTACTATCTACTAACATTACAAATACTTTTACAATTTACAATATATTATACAAATGTCATTACCTTTATATCACACATACTAATAAGGTTATTTTAGTCATTTCTACTTTATTCTTACTATATCCCAATATAATACTAATATTTCTAAAACTACATATAAAAAGCAAATGAATATTTACTTATTGGACGGAGGGAGTACTGTAGTTTAACATAATATATATTTGAATTGTCAATTTTATATTTTTATTTCAAAATAGTTTCGCAATGACAAATATATTATACATTTGAATTTAAATGTTTAGAATTTAATTCGGTCAACTCAATTGATAATAAAATCCTTTAGATTTCTTTGGCATTTAATTTAAGATTTTGTTCTATTTAGGGATAATTTAAAAGGCATTTATTTGTTTGTTCACATTAGTATTTTATATTTACTATACATTATTCTAGAAAAAAAAAATACATTTCTTAATTTATTTATATTTAAAAAAAAAAAAACATATTTATTTCAGTAAATGGCATCAAATTATTATTACAAAATTCAAATCAATGTTTTAAGCTCAAACTAAAGAAACTTTTATTTATTTATGTAAAAATATATTTAATTGGTGTTTTTCCTTAAAAATAATTGAATTTAAAAAATAAGAATATGCATATCATATATATATATATATTATGTGGGACAAATGATACAAAATTTATAGTGATTTAGTAGTTATTTACTTACATAATTTACATTGTTTTAAATTTGATTTGGGTGTTTAAATTTAATTTAATCCATTTTTTAAAAAATTAATTACTTACTAATCTTCTAAATGAATCTAGATTACATCATATTTAAAGATAACTAACAATCCGTAATTACGCTTCATTTTTCTCTTTTCGCCGATTTTTGGTAAAGATTCTGTTATCACGGCACAAAATGTATGACATGCGCCATTTGTCGTTAGTGATAGACCTACTCAGATGATTCGAACCAAAATTGAAGTGGTGGAATTTTTATTTTTGATTCAAATTTATGACGATTTTAGTTCAAACCGGCAGTTTCGAACCGGATGGACAAGTCCACGCTTCATGCGCCACAAAATCTTCTTTTAATGAATTTGGATTGCGTTATATGCAGCAATGATAGCGTGCAATTTAACGGTTATAGTCATTTTTCTGGATGTGCAAGTCGTCATTAACGACTACAAGTCATGTCCGACCAATAACACGCAAGTGATTCGTGAAAATAAATATTTTGTTTATATACATATTTTTTAAAATTTTGACATAATTTAGTCCAAATATATAACATTTTTAAATATAATATCAAACATTTCATCCATCCAATTTGAAGGTGTACACTTATATTTGGCGCAAAATTTTAAAAATAATAATATTTTAATTATACTGAATAATTAAAAGTAGTCCAAACACAATTTCATCATTTTTTTTGGTGTAAAAATAATAATACGATGATAAAGTATTAATTTTGTTTAAAATTTTTTTTAAAATAATTACTTTATAATTAGATAATAAAAAATAAATATATATACTTTATAAATTGGATGAAAAAATATCTATATATTTTCTTTCACACAAAATGTGATATCGAATATAATTTTTTTTATTAATTTAAATACAATATATATTTTTTATACACACAAATTGATATTCATAATTCTCTTTTTACAATGTAAATAGAAATATAATTCAATTCGCACATGGTATAATGCAATAAATAAATAAATATATAAATAACTAAAATCATATTCAAATTAGGTGTCACCTTAAAAATGAGACACCTATAAACAAGAGTTTCTCCAATATTTTCCCTTCACACCTATTTCTCTTACATGACAAAATATTTAATTTTATTTAATTTCTATTTCAGTTATTTTGAGATAAACGCCAACAACCTCATTACATCCGGTTCTCAACTCCCGCCACCTCACAACCACAATCCCGCCCGACGGTCGAATCCGGGCGCAAAGCTCCCAGAACCCCCAGAAAAAACAAAGGTCCCATTCGGTCATTGCCTTGTCACGTGACCAATGTCTCCGTCAGCCATGACCTACACTAGACACTACCCATATTCTATACATACAAAAATCTGTATCTATACATCCCTCCCTGTAATAAAAACCCTTCATTTTCCCCTAAATTAATTAAACCCTCGCCGCCGTCACTCCAATCTCCGCCGCCGGCGATGTACTCTCCGTTCCTCCGCCGCCGCCCCTCCGCCGTCAAGGCGCCGGTCGTCGTCCGGCAAGTCTGGTCTGCCAATCTCGACTACGAATTTTCGTTAATCCGAGAAATCGTCGATCGGTATCCGTACATTTCAATGGACACAGAATTTCCCGGCGTCGTCTTCAGCCATAACCACCACAGCTCAAATCCCGGCGACCATTACAGAGCTCTGAAATCGAACGTCGACGCGCTGAAGCTGATCCAAGTCGGATTAACCCTAAGCGACGCCGCCGGAAACCTACCGGACTTAGGCACCGGCGGCGGCCGGAGATTCATCTGGGAATTCAATTTCTCCGATTTTGACGAAACCGTCGATCCGCACGCCGCCAGCTCAATCGACCTCCTCCGCCACCAAGGATTCGACTTCGGCGCGAGCCGCCGCCACGGCGCAGCCGTGAGCCGGTTCGCCGAGTTGATGATGTCATCGGGGCTTGTCTGCAACGACAGCGTGACTTACGTGACTTTTCACGGCGGCTACGATTTCGGGTACCTTGTGAAAGCCCTAATCGGAAAATCTCTGCCCGATTCGATCGAAGAGTTTAAGGAACTGATGAGGATTTTGTTCGGGGAAAATGTTTACGATGTGAAGCATTTAATGCGGGCCTGCCCGGGGCTGCACGGCGGCTTGGAGAGGATTTCGCAGCGGCTCGGCATCGGACGTGTCGCCGGAAAGTCTCACCAGGCCGGCTCCGACAGCCTGCTGACGTGGCACGCGTTCGAGAAAATAAAGGATAATTATTTCGCGGAAAAGGCTGAGGAGAGTAAGAATAATGATAAGGTTAATGTGTTAGAACAGTTTGCTGGTGTTCTCCATGGATTAGGAACTCCTTAATTTTTTGGGAATTAATTAGGGTTTCTATACTGTGTGTCCGCCATGGATGAAGGTTGAAGATGAAGTGAAGAAGATCGATTGAATAAGTGTTGTTTGTGTATATATAATTATATAATTATATATATGTATTGTTGTATTGTGCAAGTTTGTAAAATCGGTGGTTTGCTTTTTTTGGGTTTTTGATTTACTTTTTTTACTATTTATTATTTTTATTTCTTATTTAGAAACATCAAATTTATCGATATTTTTCATAAAATTTTACGTCAAATAAATATTCTCACTTGAAGTATATAAAAGGAAAATAAAAAAACACAAGAAATATACCATGGGTGCGTTGAAATCAAAATTATTATTATTCAATTGGTATAATTTTCAATAAAACTATAATATTACTTAAAAAAAAATTATACAAATATAAAAATATATATTTAATATTAAAAAAAATGATGTCAGATGCAAATAGGTAGATTAACTGTGGAAGGACGGACATAGTACTTTGTCTATGAAAGTATAATATCAAAATATAGTTTAAAAAGTAAACTGTTTTTTTAGTCCCGTAACTGGACCCCTTTATTATTTTTGTCCCGTAAGTGGAGCATGTTGCAAATTAGTCCCAAAAGTGAAAAATTTTCGATGTTTTAGTCCTCCGGCGCCGGAGACGCCCGCGGGGCTCGCCGGAGGTGACGTGTCCGCCAGGTCAGCGACACCTGGCGGACACGTGGATTTATTTATTTATTTTTTAAATTAAATCAAATTAAAAAATTAAAAATATATAAATAAAATTAAAAATAAGTTTTAAAAAATAAAAAATCCACGTGTCCGCCAGGTGTCGCTGACCTTGCGGACACGTCACCTCCGGCGAGCCACGCGGGCGTCTCCGGCGCCGGAGGACTAAAACAGCGAACATTTTTCACTTATGTGGACTAGTTTGCGACATGCTTCATTCACGGGACTAAAATGATAAGGGAGTCCAGTTACGGGACTAAAAAAAGCACTTTAGCCTAGTTTAAATTAAAACTCAAATTACTAAACCAAACTTGTTGCTCATTTTAAGAATAAATTAGGGTTTCTTTCCTTTGTTTTTCTCTTAAATTTCTTCTGTTTTTAGTTTATTGTCATTATTATATATATTTTTTTTTTTGTAAGAAAATTATTACAATAAAACTCTATTATTTAATTAAAATGTCATATAAGAAATATATATAAAATGTAACAAACATTTAATTTAATTAGCTCATTGATTTATTATTACAGCTTTCCTTAAACATCTGTAGCATAAATATGCAAATCGAATATATTATTTACTAAAATATTATTAAAGTTCAAATTCAAATTTAAAATCAAACTCTAAACACAAACCAAACAAATCTTGATTAAGGTTTCAATTAGTTGTATTGAACTATTTATCACTTTTTTTTTTTTTTTTTGAATTATCGAAGAAAAAATATATATTTTAATTATTACATAAAAATAAAAATTTTCATTTAAAATATCATACTACACACCTATTGATGTTAGAAAATTATATTTCAAATCAAATTTTTATTACTTTGAAATCCCAAATACAATCCCTACCACCAAACAAACAAACAAATCACATTATTAATTTGTTTGGAGGTGTGAATTTAATTTCATATTATTTATTTCTCAAAAAACTCATCCCTCTATCTTGTAAAATTATGTCATTTGACCGGACACTAAATTTTAAGAAAAAGTAGGTAAAAATTAAAATTTTTGTAAAAAGAAAAAAAGGAAAAAGTCACATTTTTTACTAAAAAAATTTAAGAATATTTTTGAATGACAATTAAAAAAAATAGACATAAATTTGAATGATATATGTTAAAATATTTTGCGGAAACTCTAAAGCTTGCATTATTGATAATCAAAATAAGGGGTCTATATATAGGCAACCTAAAACATACTCGATAGACTCAAATCTGAATAACGTAATCTAATGGATATTACCAAATCTAAATTTAAATCTAACAAACCTAAAACTAAATATCGAAAATCTCTCGACAACATAGAGTATTAAATTAAATACTGATTTTAAATATAAAATATAAAATATTAAATTTATTTTTAATTTAAAACATCAAGGGCGTGTTTGACAATTAGCTGATAGCTGTTAGCTGATTCAATTAGCTGGTTTGACTAGCTGATTTGATTAGCTGTTTGTATTTAAATGTTTGGTAAAACAACTGTTTGATATTAGCTGTTTATACGTAAAATGACAATTGAGTACATTTCTATTTTATTCTTATTTCTAATATATTCAATTATGTTTTTTTGAGTTTAGAATATTTAAAATTTTTTGTTATTAGTTATTGAAAATTGTAAAAGTGTTATAAAAGTATTTATTTTTATTACAGTTAGATTTAAAAAATAATATATTTTTATTAAAATATATAAATAGTTTTTTTTATTGAAAATGATGTAAAATATAAAATAATAAATTTTTTGTGTATATATTTATTATGTTAGTTATCGATTAGTTCATTATATTTACAATTTTCAATAAATTTAATTTATTTTTAGTATAAAATTTATATAATGTAATTTTAATAAAAAATAAATTATTAATATTTATATTTTTTATTTTATGTTGATTTTAATAAATTTATGTATTTTACAATTAAAATAATTTTTATATAAAAATTAATTATTTTAAATTTATAAAAGTAAAACTATAATATAATAAAATATTAATATAATTAATAAATAATCAAAATATATTTATTTGTGTAAAATTTATAATAAATTTTTAAGGTCATATAAGAAATAAAAAATTTTTTACAAAAAAAACTATTTCAAAACGCTGGGTAAGTTAGCTTTTCAGAAATGATCCAAAAAGCTAATTTCAAAAAGCTAATTTACCAAATATCTAAATTAGTTTTTTAACTTGTCAAACAGCTAAAAGCTATTTAATAAGTTAAAAGATTTTCAAAAAGTTATTTTGCCAAACACCCCCAAATATATATTTATATAGCTTATATTAATCCAAACTATTTACAAACCCTAATTAAATCCACTCCCAAATCCTCAAAACAAATTAAACCCCAAACACACAAAAAGTCAAAAAAATACAATAAAAAAAATCTTTTTTTGGTTGAATTTATTTTAACTTTATAGATTTTCTTCAATAGGACATTGTTTTCTTTGATTCCTCTTTGAAAAAAACAAATAAAAAAAAAAAAAAAACAAAACAAAAACAAAGAAGAAAGACAAGAATAATAGTTTGGATTTGAGGGCTATTTTAGCATAACTGCATTTTTTTCCTTTTTTTTTTTAAACTAAAAAAATTGTGCCCTGAATATATATATAAACACTTGCCAATTTTATGTAAAATATTATTTTTAACACCTAATCTTAATTTGAAGTTTTTTCAATAAAAAAATAGCTTCTTTATTACCACAGAATAACCATTTTATGGGTTTAAGATTATTTAAATATTACTCCCTCCCTCCGTCACAAACATAGTGCAACATTTCCTTTTTTATATGTCCCAAACACCATGCAACATTTTCAAATTAGGAAATAATTAATTATACATAATCTCTACCCTACACTTTATCCCCTCACATCATCCAAATTAAAAAAAATAAAATATATATTTATCTCTCCATCACATCACCTAATTTCTAAATTATTATACTTAATACTACCCACCTAAAAATTTGTTGCACTTTATTTGGGACGAAGGGAGTAATAATTTTCCCACACAAAGAAATGGCTGGTATTGTGCGCAAGTAATTACATCAGGATTATTATTCTTTTTTTTTTATTTTATTTTATTTTACTCCCTACATCCTCCATACCATGTTCACATTATCGTTTTTGTCGGTCCCACATTCCATCTCACTTTCTTTTTTTTTGAAAAATGATTACACACTTTAATCTCATTTTAAACTTTTTAATTTAATTTTTTTAAAATTTTAATTAAAGTAATTAATTATCTTAATCTTAATTTATAATTATTTATATTATAAAATAATTATTTTCACTGGTACATTCTTAATTATATACTAATTATATTTATCATAAATCTCGTATCTATAGTGACCCAGACATCCAATGTGGGACGGAGGGAGTACTATTTAATTTTTTACATTTTCATATAAAAATATATTATAATCTCTCTCGTTCTAAAGTAATAGTCTCGTTTTGTCATTTTTGTCTGTTCTAAAACAATAGTCTCATTTTCATTTTTAGTAACCAACCTTCTACTTTTTTACAAAATATCTCAATTTTTCACAATAATTACATAAATTAGGGTCATTTTGATCTTTTAAAAATATTTTTTACCGACTATCAATATAATACTATTATTCATTTATTATCGTGTTCATCCCAAATATCTCTATCATTTTGAAACTTTAAAAAGTATTTATCTGAACTTTTTATGCCATATTATTCAGCTACGCAAATAAAAAAATAGTAGTATTTTTTAATATAAAAGTAAGATAAAAAAAATATATATATATATATATTATAAATAATTCGTTATACAGATTAAAAAAGTAGTAGAATAAATAAAAAATAGTGACAAAATGAGGATTATTTATTAAAAATAAGACTAGTTAAATTAAATGTTTGTGATATTTTAAATTGGTGTATTGATTTGAATTTTAGTTTATTTTATATTTTTATATGATGTTTGATGAGAATTTTTTTATTTTTTATTTTTTTTTAATTGAAAATCCTACGAATTCAACTGTGATATTTTTTTGTTTCAAATAAAAACACATACATCCATAGTGTATTTCTTGTGTTTTTATTTTTTATCTGTATATTTTAGAGGGAGATATTTAGTAGAAAATTTTATATGAAAATTTAACATTAAATTTGGTATTTTTGAATAAAAAAATTAAATAGTAAAAAAAGCTAATTCAGAATAAAAAAAGAATAAACCTACTAATATTACAAACTTGCACTATACAAAAAATATACATATATATATATAACACTGTTTATCTTCTTTTTTCATTTATATTAAATTTAAATTTATTGAAAACCAAAAAATTACGTTGTTATTAATAAATCAAATTATAATCTAAAACTATCAAATTTACAATAAATCAAATCAAACTAATCAAATTAAACCAAACTAATAAATCAAATCTAAATTTAAAATGTCTCAACAATCTACACTTTTGATTA